CGCCACACACACACAGCTCACAGGCCACTCTACAGCATGCACACGCACGGAGTAGACGTGGCTACTACCTGCCGAGTCCTTCCTCATTCGGCTTACAGGACGGACTGCAACACTAGTCCTCCCTCAACCGATTCCCGCCTAGAACTCATACCGTGTCTCTCGACACGTCACTGGCCTAGCTGTTTACACGGCCAGCGCCACTCACGGCCGCTGGATTGGGTGGCTAACCCAACATGGCTGCCCCCATGCAGGGACTCGACTTTCTACATCGTTAATTGATGAGCCGGCAAAACAACACGAAAACGCACACTAATAAACAACAGGCATCACAAATAATTATACAATTACAAACACAGATCACCCACACTCCGGTTCCCAGGGAGCCACCCTGTTAGGAACCCGGTCTAGGGTCCGGTGCCACCGCTACACATTTATCGGCATCTTAGTTGCTCCTGGTTTTACTCGATCTGTCGGTTCCAGAAGATTTATCACGGACGTGTGGTTGTTATTTTTTAGATCTGTTATGGAATAATCTATGGAATAGGTCCAAAGACACTGGGAGACCAGCTTAATGTGGATGAGAAATGTGCTGCAACCCTAATAAATACATTCAAAAGCAAGTATGAAGGTATGAACAATGCGTTTGTGATTACAATCGCTTATTTTTTGTAGCACGTACTATAATAGTCTTGAAGTAATAGTATTGTATCTGGCAGATTTAATTGCAACATGTAATATGTAAGCTCATGGACTTGCCCTCACATCATCTCAGTTTCGGTTCACAGTATACCTCTCTACGACTGTCTCTCGCATGGCTGTATCGCTCTGTTCCATTGTTGTTTGGCTAGGATTGAGAGCTTACCTGCAGGCAACCGTAGACAGGTGCAGACGTGATGGCTACGTGAGCACCATGCTAGGGAGGAAACGCTACTTACCCAACATTAAGAGCAATAATCCTATCGTGCATAATCAAGCAGAGAGGCAAGCTGTCAACACCACAGTGCAGGTAATAGACATGAGTGTATGCATATGGTGGTGGTTGTGAAGACTACGACACATCTAAATTATTAATTTATCGCTAACGCAAGGTCTCAATGGCATCGAGTGATAAGCTTGTCAAACCCACATGGGACATGGGGTAGTGTTGTGTGTGTATATGTGTAGTCTTTGTATGTGTCCTACTGAGTCATTATAGTATTTTATCTGTTGTTATATTGTATTGTTGTATTATAGTATGTGTTGTTATATGATATTACATGTTGTTATACTATAGTATGTGTTATACTATACTGCATGTTGCTATACTATATTACACATAGTACTTTATGATATATCACATGTTGCTATATTACATTACATGTTACTATATTATATTACATGTTACTATATTACATTACATGTTACTATATTATATTACGTTACTATATTACATCACGCGTTGCAATATACAGGGAACAGCAGCCGATCTCGTGAAGCTGGCGATGGCGGCGGTCGACCGGCGCCTCACCGAGGAGTTTCCATCGTCGACGCCGCACCGTATGTCACGCGAGCCGTCGTCTCCCCCGCGGCGACGGTGGCGCCCTCCTCTTCCGCGCGGCGCGTACCTGTTGCTGCAGCTTCACGACGAGCTGATATACGAGGTTAACGAGGAAGATCTCGTCCAGGTGTGTCAGATAGTGAAGCAGTGCATGGAGGGCACCACGACCCTCTCCGTCTGTTTGCCTGTCAACGTCAAGGTGGGCCACACGTGGGGCAGCATGCAGTCATTCTCACTGTGAGATATTCTTGGCTGTGTATCAGCTAGATTTACTTCAGTGTAGCCTTTCACTCGCTACGCACAAAGTTTATATGGTAGGATATCCTTGGCCATGCATCAGTTAGCGCTACCTACGTGTAGCCCTTTACTCGCTACACACAAAGTTTATACCGTGAGATATCCTCGGCTTTGTATCAGCTAGCGCTACCTACATGTAGTCCTTCACTCGCTATGCACAAAGTTTATACCATGAGATATCCTCGGCTTTGTATCAGCTAGCGCTACCTACATGTAGCCCTTCACTCGCTACGCACAAAGTTTATACCAGGAGATATCCTCAGATTTGTATCAGCTAGTGCTACCTACATGTAGTCCTTCACTCACTACACACAAAGTTGATATGGTAGGATATCTTCAGCTGTGCATCGTTATGCAAAAAGTTTATACCGTGAGATGTCCTTGGCTTTGTATCAGCTAGCTCCATCTACATGTAGCCCTTTACTTGTTACACAAAGCTAATTCTGCTATTTGTTGTCAGCCAAGGTCAATATGTCGTTGACAGTGTGTGTGTCGTGATACAGAGCAGGGCCAGTCTTACTATTGTATTGTATTCGCTAATGTATCGGCTCGCTTTACCCGTGTAGCTCGTTGCTCCATAACAGGGCTTGGGTGGAACAAAAGGCTACACTCGTAGAGAAATGTATTATGTGCCATTGCCAGTACATTTATTCCGTGATATAAGGTAAAGCCTTTTCTGCAATGAAATGTTTCATCAATGTATTAATGTGCCATTGGCAGTAAGTATGCCATGCATGATATAAGGCAAACCTGTTTATACAATGAAATATTCCCAACAATGTATTAATGTGCCATTGGTAGTAAGTATGCCATGCATGATACAAGGCAAACCTGTTTATACAATGAAATATTCCCAACAATGTATTAATGTGCCATTGGTAGTAAGTATGCCATGATATAAGACAAAGCTGTTTATACAATGAAATATTCCCAACAATGTATTAATGTGCCATTGGTAGTAAGTATGCCATGATATAAGACAAAGCTGTTTATACAATGAAATATTCTTAACAATATTATTAGCATACCAATAGCAGCACCTATACCGAGATATAATTTTACGAGCTGTTTATGCGATGAAATATTGCCAACAACATATCAGTGTGCCATTGGCAGCACCAATACCGGAATATAATTTTATGAGCTGTTTATACAGTATCAGCGTGCCATTGGCAATATAGGTATCCCATGATATGAGGCAAAGCTGCTTACACAATGAAATTTTGTCAGTAATGTATCAGAATGTCATTGGGAGTGCATTTCATGATACAGCATAATTTTGAGTAGTTCACTGGCGTTTTCATTGTTGGCAATTTATAGTGACTAAAGTCAGTAACATGGCATTTCTTGTGATTGTAATTAAGAAGTGATATATTGTCAAATGTACATTAATTGGATTATAATGCAGGAACTTCCAATGAAATTGTTTATCTGTTCTTTGCATGGCTTAGTGTAGCAGTAGAAAAAATGAATTCCTAAATAACAAGAATCCTATTAAATTCAAATAGTTTTTATGTGGTACTATTTTGGCCACAAAGCTTGTTAACGTAATATCCCTGCCAGGAATGCAACTTTTTGTATTTTATATGCATGCGGCTGTGCAATGTAATACCAAAGGATGAAAATTGTAAGAGTTAAATTGGTTTATTAGACTTTTATTGCATGTAAAATTTATAAACGAAATATTGCTCATCTGGTACGGTAATGTAATGTCTGGAATGTAATGTCTGTAATGTAATGTAATGGAATAGCATATTAACTGTATTCATATTGATTGGTATAGTAAATACATAAATGTGTAAAATATACATAATGATGTAATAGTGACCTTTACTAACTGTAACTGTATGTAAATAAAGTGAACTATAGCTATTTAAAAAATTCTTCCAGTAAAAATTACAATTTATTATATACCAATTGTTACGAGACGCCTCTTTGCTGACTGAATTTTTGATAACGTACAAAGCACAACAACTAATTATTGCCAATATACTGTCTACAAAGCAACCAAATTAAATCAAAGTATGGTGTAAATGTGGTTGGCTATTTAATGTTTGCCTTATTGCTACGCATTACATACGATGTATAGTGACTAGACTACCCCAGACCTATCATGCCTATTTAGACAGCGTCCCAAGGCAATTATTTTATCCACAATGTACGACTTGACCTGACCACAGCGCCAGGCTGTGAAACTCGAGTAACGACTAACATCAATACATTAATCATTTACTGTCATTAATACACACACGTCTCCAGATGTATGACAGTTTCTTGGACCTATGTGTCACTTTGGCTATAGTACTCGAGCTATTTATGACTGTGACTATAACTATAAGTACGAGTCATCGGTCATTGATGACAAATGAAGTGTTCAAGTGGCCCTTTAGACTTGTTTGACTTAACTTCTCAAGGAGCTAAGTATAACATATTTATAATAATAATAACATATAAATTAAAATAAGTTATATTTGGCTCCGCAGTGGCTGGAGGTACGGCAGCCCTCGTTTGTTGAAGCCCCTTATTGGAGTTAGGGTTAGGGTTAGGGTTCTAGCTAGCTCTAGTAACTATAGCTGAGAGAGGGTCTATGTCGCCCCAGGGTACTGCCGGAACGTACCCTGGCAGTGCTCGAAATAAGAAAAAAATTGCATCAAATCAGGTTGTCCGCAACAATTTCTGGTTGTCCCAAAAAATATCCCCAAATCTCTTATTTTCAATCACATAATAATATGATCAGAAAACACCCAAAAACAGTGGCGTAGCCAGGATTTTTAGCTCATCTGACGTAGTCAGATGCAGCTTGTAGAATCGCATGAGCGTGCGTCCGTCCGGCCGTGCGTCAACAGTTGTGCACAAAAATTTCATGTCATTAATACACACATCTCCAGATGTATGACAGTTTAATTCTTGGACCTCGCATGGTCCGCTTGACGTACGGTCACGATATTTGTGATGTCGGGGGGATCGTCAAAACGAGTTGGGATGTCAAAGTTGGGGGTCAAAGGTTAAGGGGTTAAGGGGGAACATTCCCTCCTTAAAGTAAGGTATAGGGAGGAAATGCAGAATTGCCGCACAAATCTAAACGGCTCGACCTAGGCTTGTGATAGTCGCGGTGTATATCATCATGGTAGGAAAAGCAATCACTGTGCCGAAATTGGAGGTCACAGGCCAAAGGTCAATGGGGCACAGGGCAGATTTTAGACATTTTCTGAGGACATGGTCTGACGGAGCGATTGAAAAACTTTTTTGTTTCAGCGGTGACCTAGCATTTTTATGGCTTTATTGAAAGGACCATGAAATGTACTTTCTGCTGACATGCGAAGAGTAAATGTCGGATAACCTTTTGACCCTCAGGAGGAGGGTTAAACATGGATTTGTTTACTGTTAGAAAGAATTTGACTGCCGGGTTTGCTAGTAGAATCTATACATGCCTGGATGTATGAGGCTACAATATCACAGTGAAATTTCAAAAGCTAAATTTGTTTGAAGAAGGTTTATGCTCCTTAAATCGTATAATTTCTATGGCATTCTGTACTGTCAGTGTGTGTACACTGCTAACGTTAATGCACTGCAGTCGGGCCACTGCAGTGTGATGTGGTGGTGATGCAGGCCCGTAGGCCAGTTTCATATTGGCGGGGGGGTTCGTTTTTCAATGTGGCAATTTTGCTCCGGCAGCGGGCGCTGTACAGGGATTTGGTACCAGGGGGGCGGTCTTAACCGTAAGCAAGTTGTGAGCATGCGAAGGGGGGTTCCTGGGGGCCTCCCCATAAAAATTTTAAAAATTACACCCCCTCAGCATGCCGTTATTCTGCCCGAGCAAGGGTTGGGGTCCGGACTCCCCTGGAGCCCCCTGTACACGCCCCTGCTCGGAACGCGAACCGACCAGACGAGCGGAGTCAACAGTACGAGCGGGGGGAGGTGGTGCGGAGGGTAGGTGTCACTGTTCACCATCCCACACGATGGAGATTTTTGCAATCTATATACACTAAATGGAGCGACCTGCAAAGTGAAATTTCTTGCCAATTCCAAAAAATAAAAAATTATTGGCTTGGAGGGGGCGGGCTCGGGGGGGGCTGTTCGGTTGCCAGCCTGAACCCCCTCCCTGGTACGAGCCGTGCTAGTACTGTGTAGTTTTTGCCTGTGTTAATTAGTTACAGGTTGGCAGCTCCTTCTATTGTGGACCTGCTCAGGCTTGCGTAGGTAAATGGATGGAGTGCCCTTACCTTTTCTTGTCTTGCAAATAGTTGTTGGGGAGTACGATGGGAGCTTCCATCTTTAATCTTAAGACACTTAAACGCACACGCCATCTCGTGGCAACTTAATTTTTATAACGATCCCAACAAACATTCCTTTGAGAAGGTTCCTGATACCATCCCTGTGCCTTCCACTGTTTCGGCGTGTATGTGAACTCATTTGCGACTAACAGGGTTTACTAGAATCCCACCACTCCACCACAGAGTCACCGCAGTAGACGTGAGATGAGCGCTGTCGCTTCGCGGCACTTGTTTAACAAGGGGGGCCAAAAACAACAAACTGCGCAAAATAGTGGATGACTTAATATTGTAATGGCTCTTCCGCCTCTCTCTCCACACCCTACGGCTCGGCTCCTCTACCTCTCAGCTCTGCAATCTATGCATCTTGCCATGTTGAAAAGGCGACATTTTTGTTCATTGTTCTCTGCTCCCAATATATGTAATTGTTCAGTGGCGGGTCTAGGATTCCAAGGAGGGGGGGGGGGTGAAAACAGGCGGGGGGGTATGGGGGTCCTCCCCCAGAACATTTTTAAAATGTAGATCGCAGGAGATGGTATTTGTGGCACCATGGAGTACATGTACAGCCTTCATTCCGACTACGACAATTCTCTTTTTAGTAGAACAAATTTTTTTAAATTTGGATCAACATGGATCCCCACTCCCCCCCCCAACTACGCTACTGCCCAAAACATACTGTAGGAGTGATATCTTTAAATTTATTTTATTTCAACTTGTAAACTTAATACTTTGCATGAATCAGGACGGTCATCGCACCAATACACCACCCACAGTACAGTTGCCGCTGGGCTATAGCATCAGCCATTACGAGTGCTCGGGACCAACTTACTCCATCCAGTCAGCGGGAACTATGTATTTCCGCACGTGGAGAGGTGGGCGGGTTGTGTTGGTTGTGGACAAAAACGTTGTTGTCAAGTAACTATAGTATAGTTACTAGAGCTAGGTTCTAGCTCATCTAATCTCAAATCGTGAATTTATTTCCCAAGGTGTTATTTCGAAATCTGGCGCCACCCGCCGCCATCTTTGTCTCGTTAAGTATGAAAGCGAAAGGACTGCCGTACCTCCAGCCTCGAGACATTAAGATACGGCTGCCGTACCCGTAGCCACAGCGATTTAGCTCCTTGCCACCTTGGGCTTGGTTTGACTGAGTGTCACTGTCACAGTCAGACGCAGAGTGACAGGGCAAGAGTGAGTCTATTTTCAGACTAGTACTAGTACTAGTAGTACTTACTAGTACTACTACTACGTCTACAGACTACAGACTACAGTACAGACTATAGTCTACAGAGTAGTAAGTACAGTGTCAGTAGTACTACTACTACTAGTACTAGTAGTAGTACTAGTACTAGTAGTAGTATAGACCAATAAATTGTGCCCTAAAAAAATTTATATTCTGGTGTTATTTTAGGCCCTAAAAACAACACTATTATTTTTGGCCCTAAAATAACACCAGAATATAAAAAAATTTAGGGCACAATTTATTGGTCTAGTAGTAGTATAATAGTAGTATTAGTACTACTATTACTATTAGTATTAGTACTACTAAGTACTATTAGTATTACTATTAGTATTACTATTACTATTAGTAATTATATACATATAAAAATACACCGTGCATTGTAATTCAAAACTGTGCCAATAGGAGCTTGTATAGACATCACGTAATCAGAAATGGACACGATTCTAATCTATAGTTTAATGTAAAACTGCAAAGTATCTGCAAAGTATACTTTCTGCAAAGTATAAAGATAGCAATGGCGTCTAGAAAATTAGCCAATCATAGGACAGGATTGTATCCTTGACGCAGCGACTTCTAGGAAGTTTAGTCGTATAAGCCGAAACCTAAGTGTATAAATATACAATTGCATTTGCCGAATAGTTCCTAATTGTACAAAGTTATTAAATATTTATCTTCAATTTAATGTTAATAATTATTTTCAAATATTTTCTTTACATATCTTGCATGTAACTTGTAGTTTTTGTATTTCGTATATTGATGTCTATTAGCACTCCTATCCACGTTTTGTACCATATTATAAACATGGATAGCACCATGATAGCACACTGTAATCTTAATTTTGGTGTCTTGTTTTGGACGTTTCATGCCACTGTAAAATGTGTTCCTGTCGTTCGCGACGAAGGTAATTATGCTAATGAAACTATAGTGTGTGAATTTGATATGTATTTTCTGTTTTCTTAGTCGTGGTAACTTGTGTTTTGACACTCTGTTGACGCCCTGACGGCAGTGCCACTGCCAGTGTTTTGAGCTCGAGTTGTGCTTGTGAGTGTGACTCACCATGGTCCATAGATCACTGCATGACTGACTGTAAGTGTGGGAGTGACTGTTTGGATGCTGAATATATGTGTTCCGGATATTACTAAGGCTTATAAGGGGGTCAAGTACACTTTATGTATTTACGCGTAATGAATACTGGCGTTGTACTTCTTCTGGTTTTTAATTTTATTACATTGCTTCAGTGGTTATTCATCCAGATGAGATGCCAGATGGGGTCGTTGTCGTATCAGGGTACTACAGATATGTATCCGAGGTAGTTTTAGGTTGTTTAGTATTATGTTTATATTTTTATATGAGGTATGTTTAGGGTTAGGTTTAGTGTTACTGTTAGGGTTAGGGTTATGGTACACTTCTGTAGTACAAGTCTGGTACACTTTGTGTACATATATGTACCTCGGGTACATATCTGTGCACGAAGGGTCGTTGTCGTAACAGGTACTACAGACAGTGTTTGCCACTGAGCAGAAAAAGCTGTAGGCCTGCAGGGCCTATAGCTTCTAAAAGCTGCAGGCCCGCCAGCAAAGCTGTAGGCCCGCCAATTTTGGAGCAAATTACAGTAATAAAACAG